ATTTTTTTATAAATCAAGGAATGGAATTAAATATAAAAATAATTTTAAATAGGACTTATTTACAAATTATCCCAACACTGAAATAAAGCTTGATGCTATGAGAAAAAATATCATTGAATTTCAAAAAGAAAGATGGGATGATAATTGGAAAAGAGTTGTATTACCATTATTATCTAACAATATTTAATTGGTATCATATCATATTTATACTCTTATTTTGTCTGCATTTAACAACAATCAAAAATAAAAAGATGATTATTGAAAATTTTTATAAAATAGCATTTGCTGAACATAGATTTCATTAAAACCATCAATTATCTCATTTCCAGATGTCCAATTATCAAAAAGGTTCTTTAAGTGTAAACTAATACACTTTTCACAAAACCTATTAGAGTATTTTATTGCTTTGTACTTGTCACATTCTTTTGATTCTCCCAATTTATATATTGCACTTTTTAATTCAAACTCATGAGTAAACATTTCTCTACAATATTCTTTTTCATTTTCTAAAAGTTCTCTGACTTCATTTACTAATTGAAAAAAAAATGTCTTTTTCTATTTTCTCTGGTAGGGATAGTTGAAAATGCAGAAAATGCATTACTATTTATTTCACTATAAATTTTAAATACTAATTTGCTTCTATCTAATGCTAATAAATTACCACCAAATCTAAAACTCCTATAAAATAATAAAAATAAATTTAAGTATATTATTATTTAATAAAATTAATTAAAAAAAAATTTTTTACTCACCCAATCTGCATCAACATCTGATGCCCATTGGAATTTCTCCTGAAGGCCTTTGTTAAAAACCTTATGAATTGGTACATTATATTTTTTAACCATGCAAATGAAATGCGTGGGTCTATATAATTGCTTTTTGATGTACCCAGTGCAATTTCAGTGGTTTTGATATGAGCCTTGCTGACGGAATGTTGATGGTTACATAAAATAGCAACCTGTCTGTTTGCTTCATTATATGCTACCGCTTTCTCTATTATAGTAGTAGCATTCTCCATCCTTTTCTTTAGCTCAATTTGGAAGGTATGAGATGCATTGTATGTACGAAATACTTTGGCGGTTAGTCCTTTCATGTATTCAGACAAATGTTTATTCAAATCTTGAGTCTAAATGAATTTTAAAGAAAATTTGAATTTATTAATAGAACAAACACAAACGCACACACATATATGCAATTGATTAAATTTAAATCTTGTATTTTTGTACCCATAATCTGTCAAATAACGCTTCACCAGATTCCTTATCCTTCATAAATATTCCAAGGTTTTCAAAAACTTGTTCTATTACACTGAATTTACATATCTTATTGAATCTTTACCTAAGAAATCAAACTTGACTGTCCTTGGTGGCACCAGAGTAATATCATCATATCTGAGGGAACAACAATCCATGGTATTTGCTTCTTCGTCAGTTTTTTCATTCCCTGCTCTTAATGCAAGTTTGTCTATAAGATATGTGGCAGTAGCACATTGACAAACAAATCTGTCTTTACTTTTTAAATCCTCTATGTAATCATGGCGAATTTTTTCTAGATGTTTATCAAGTTCCCTAGCCTTATCAAATTTTTCCAAATCGCTTTGACCTTTAAGTGAGCTATTGGGTGCTAAAATCACATATTTTATTTTGTTATTTACATTCTCCTTCCATTTGGC